TCCTCTGACCTTCTGCGAGCCTTCTGTCGTGCACAGGGCATCCGCCAGACGTTCACGCTTCCGGCCACTCCACAGCAAAATGGGATTGCTGAGCGCCGCATTTGCATGGTCATGGACGTCGCTCGTACATCCATGATCCATGCAGCTGCTCCCCATTTTCTGTGGCCGTTCGCGGTTCAGTACGCGGCGCATCAGATCAACCTTCAGCCCCGGGTCTCCTTGCCGGAGACCTCCCCTACTTTGCGGTGGACGGGGAAGGTTGGCGATGCGTCTGCGTTTCGTGTCTCGGGATCTCGGGCTTTTGTCCGCGACTTGTCTGCGGACAAGCTGTCCCCCCGTGCTGTTCCCTGCGTCTTCCTTGGCTTCCCCCGTGACGCGCCTGGTTGGCAGTTTTACCACCCCACCTCGCGCCGTGTTCTGTCTTCCCAGGACGTCACGTTTGACGAGTCGGTCCCTTCTACCGTCTCTTCCCCTACCGCACTGCCCCGCTCCCCCCTCCGCCGCTCTTCCTCATGCCAGGTGCTGCCTTGGTAGACCCCTTGCCTCCCCAGGTTCCTGCTCCCTCAGGTGTTTCCCAGGTAGACCCGGTCGAGCCTGTCGAGGTAGCTGTCGACTCTGGTCCTGCGCGAGGTACTGAGCGTGCTGAGCCTGGTGGTGCTGGGTCTGGAGGTACTTAGCCTGGGGGTGCTGAGCCTGGGGGTGCGGAGACTGGGGGTGCTGAGCCTGGGGGTGCGGAGACTGCGGGTGCTGAGCCTGGGGGTGCTGTCCCTGGGGGTGCTGGGTCTGGAGGTCCTGAGCCTGGGGGTGCTGCGCCTGGGGGAGCTCTCTCTTCCCGGCAGCTACGTGAGTGGTACTCTCGGTACTGTCGCAGCCTCCGTGGTGCTGCTGGAGCTGGAGCTGAGAGCGCTGAGCCTACTGGAGTTGGTGTTGCTGCTGACCCTGGGGTCGGCGCTGGAGGTGCTGGAGCCTCTGGTCCTGGAGGTACTCGTACTGGCGGTACTGGAGCTGCTGGGACCGGGGGTACTGCTGGAGCTGTTGGCGCTGGTCCTGCTGGAGGTGCTGCTGGTGCTGCTGGAGGTACTGGAGCTGCACGTGCTGCTGGGGGTACTGGAGCTGCTGGGCCTGGAGGTGCTCCTGGTGCTGGAGCTGCTGGCGGTGCTAAAGCTGGCGGTCTTGCTGGAGTTGGTGCTGCTGGAGCTGCTGGAGCTGGAGCTGCTGGGGGTGTTGGAGCTGGAGGTGCTGCTGGCGCTGGTGCTTCTGAGGGTGCTGGAGTTGGCGCTGCTGGAGCTGGAGGTGCTGCTGGCGCTGGTGCTGCCGCTGGGGGTACTGGTGCTGTCCCTGCTGTTTCTGGAGGCGCTGCGCGGCCGCGGCCGTACTTCGTTCCGCTCCTTGAGCAGGTTCTTGGTCTCCCGCCTTCTACTGGTCCTGCTCCTCCCTTAGAGTGTCCACAGCCTGACCAGTCGCAGTCACAGTTACAGCCCGCCTCCCCACTGCCTGCTCCTTCTCCCTACACTGGTCCTACTGGAGGTCTTGCTGAGCGTCGTGCGCATGCGTCTCGTCCTGCGTCGCCTGTTCGTGCTGCTCGCACTAGTCGTCGTGTTCCGCGTCAGCGTCCTCCTACGGTCCCGGGCACGCACCATATGGCACTGCGTCCTTCCACTGCTCCGCAGCGTGTCCCTTTGCCGTCTCCTCCGGAGTCCTCTGTTCCTGCTCTTGCTGACCCGGAGTCTGACTCTCTTCGTGCTGCCAGTCCTACTGTCACGCGTCTTCTGGCTACTGTTGTCACTGACCCTTCCTTTGAGTCCACTGCTGCGTCTGCCTTAGTTGCTGAGTTGGTCGAATTCGCTGTTCACTGTCGTCTAGACTACGCTGCTAGTCTTGTTGCTGAGTCTGAGTCTGTCTGTCCTCCGTCCGTCAGGGGTGAGTGTGCTCTTAGCACGGACGTCCTTGAGGACAGGCAGGAGGAGTTCCAGTGTTTTGCTGCTGCTTTGCCTCATCTCGTGTCCATGCTGATTGCCCCTGAGGGAGACCCGGATGCACCAGACATCCCGACTCCGCGCTCTTACGCAGAGGCGATAGAGGGTCCCTACTCCTCTCAGTGGCAGTCAGCCATGGACGCAGAGATGGCTTCCTGGAAGTCCACAGGCACCTACGTCGACGAGGTTCCCCCACCTGGGGCGAACATCGTCAGTGGCATGTGGATTTTCAGGGTGAAGCAGCCGTCGGGTTCTCCGCCTGTCTTCAAGGCGCGTTACGTGGCTCGAGGCTTCAGTCAGCGGCAGGGAGTTGACTACTTTCAGACCTTCTCTCCCACCCCGAAGATGACCACTCTTCGGGTGCTGCTGCACATAGCCGCTCAGCGCGACTACGAGCTTCACTCTCTTGACTTCAGCACTGCTTTCCTACAGGGCAGCCTGCACGAGGAGATCTGGCTGCGCCGCCCACCTGGCTTCACTGGGTCGTTTCCTCCTGGTACCCAGTGGAGCCTCCGGCGGCCAGTCTACGGTCTCCGCCAGGCGCCCCGTGAGTGGCACGACACACTGAGGACTACACTTGCGGCTCTTGGGTTTGCTCCTTCTACTGCCGACCCGTCGCTGTTTCTGCGCACCGACACCTCTTTGCCGCCGTTCTACATCATCGTGTACGTCAACGACTTGGTCTTTACCACTGCTGATTCTGCTGGACTCGCCCACGTGAAGTCCGAGCTGCAGAAGAGACACACGTGCACAGACCTGGGTGAACTGCGCAGCTACCTTGGCTTGCAGATCACCCGGGACAGAGCACAGCGCACCATTACCCTGACTCAGTCACACATGGTGCAGCAGGTCCTTCAGCGCTTCGACTTCATGTACTCCTCGCCTCAGGCCACTCCTCTGTCTACTCACCACTCGCTCTCAGCTCTGCCTTCGGATGAGTCCGTAGAGCCGAATGGCCCGTACCCAGAGCTTGTTGGCTGCCTCATGTACCTGATGACCTGCACTTGACCTGACCTTGCATACCCTCTTAGCATCTTGGCACGCTATGTTGCTCCTGGGAGACACCGACCAGAGCACATGGCTGCAGCGAAGAGGGTGTTGCGCTACTTGTGCAGTACGTCGGGCATGGGGCTAGTGCTTGGAGGGCGGCGTTCAGTGGTCCTCACAGGTCACGCAGACGCTTCTTGGGCTGACGACCAGGCTACGCAGCGGTCGTCACAGGGTTACACCTTCAGCCTTGGCTCCGGCTCTGTTTCGTGGCGGTCTACCCGCTCGTCTTCTGTTCTCGGCTCCAGCTGTGAGGCTGAGATCTACGCGGGGGCCATGGCTGCACAGGAGCTACGCTGGCTCACCTACCTGCTGACTGACCTAGGAGAGCCGCCTCGTTCTCCTCCAGTTCTGTACGTAGACAACAAGGCCATGCTGGCCTTGTGTCGGGAGCACATACTAGAGCACAGAACGAAGCACATTGCTCTCCGCTACTTCCTTGCTCGTGAGCTGCAGCAGCGTGGTTAGCTGCGCCTTGCTTACGTGGCCTCTGAGGCCAACACTGCTGATATCTTTACCAAGGCACTTCCGCCTTGTGATCATCAGCGCTGCTGTACGATGCTAGGTCTTGTGCCTACTTGGCCTCACTTGCTCACTTCTTGACCTTGCTTGTACTGTGATCTTTCTATACCTGCACTTGTTTGTTTACCTTTATATATGATCTTGCATGTGAACTGGCCTTGTGGCCTTGAACTTGTGCTCGGACTGTGTGGTGACGTTGTGATCCACCCTGAGTTTGCTTTGCTTTGCTTGACTGGTCTTGTGACCTCTTGTTCTCCCCCACTTTGCCTATGGGGGTGTGTCAAACTTATATACTATAGTCTGTGTAGGCTGTAGTGGGGTAGACAATATGGGGTACAACACTTTTAGGTTTTCCTACTTGTACCCACCTGTTTCCTAGTGCATTCATTCATCATTCTTTCACACACGGGGCTGCGTGGCAACGCGACAGGCAGCTCGCGGGGCGCGCGGGCTAGCAGGCGGGCAGCGCGCGGGCTAGCGGGGCTGCGCGCGGGCTGGGCGGACAGCGAGCGGGTCGCGCGGGCTACTAGAGGGTGGCGCGCGGGCCAGCAAAGGCGACGCGCGGGCCAGTAGAGGCGACGCGCGGGCCGTGCGTGCTGCTAGCGGGGCGCGCGCGGGACAGGGGCAGGGCAGAGCGCGTGGTAGCGCGACACGTGCAGGTGGTAGGTGGTGGGCCCGAAAAAAAAAAATTTCGTCATAAGGTCCTAAGACCCTACATGCTCTTAATACCATGTTCAATAGGTAGCTAGGAATGATGAGACTATCGTGAGAATCTGGTACAAGAGAAAACCCTAAGGGGTTGTACCCTACATTTGCTACCCCACTACAGCCTAAATAATGAAGTATAACTTGTACAGTTTGACACACTTTGCAGCCTTGATCCAGATCGGTCAACAGTCGCGACAGTTGATCCGCGACTTTTAACATGTGTGCCCTATGGGCAAACGTGGTGGTGGTACAGGTGTTGCTTCCCTAGTGGCAGGTGCGGTAGTGTTACACCTTCTGGAATGCTAAACTATTTTTTCAGTCAACAATTGGCGCCGTAACTTCTTTCCAAGTCGTTTAAAGCTCATTCTGTATGATTGACCGTGCTCCGTCACGATGCAAAACGAAAAAAAACTAGAAACCGATGTGCACCGATTGACCCGCAACGATATGTAAACGTACGTGCTGGAAACGCCTTACGAAGCGGAAGGACACGTCACCCAGCGCACTCCCAGGGATGCACCTGCTCGTACCGCTTTGAACGGCGATGAGCTGGACCGAACGGATGGCCATGAACGGCCTGAAGAACCTGCCGCGGGAGGCATTCCTAGAGGGCTTGTATACTGATCGTACGGCTGATGATTCTGCGCACGACATAATTGCTAATCATCGTACGGTGGCGATATCACTAGCACGGTTTCTGGACCAGAAATCACTTGGAACACACCGACGGGGGTGGTGCCAGCGTGGATGCGGGTGGCGTGGCGCGGCATCGATTCCTTTCGATCGCACGGCAAAGGGCCGCCCATTTTGCCCACTCCGCCGCATCGGCGCGCGCGAAACCCCTCCCGTTGCGAGCGTTTCCCCACCTCCCTCTCCCGCCGTGGCTGTGACTCGCGGCGGCGGGGAGGCGCGTCGAGCTGGGAGGCGGAGCACTGGGCTGGCCCGTTCGCCACAGCGAGGCAGCTGGTGCGGGGAAGGCGCAGAGGGACGTGGGGCGCGCACAGGGGGAAACGCGGGGGAAAGGGAGGACCGGTCGGGTGGGGAAGCATTGGGCCAACAAGCGAGGCAGGGGGGAAAGTGGGCGGGGGACCAGTAACCGCGTACCAGTAACCAGTAGCAAGGAAATCTGTAGCACGGACCTCCAAATTGGGGAGAGGAAAGGGAGGTGGAAGAGACGAGAGAGGAGGAGGAGGGGGGAGAGCACCCAAGAGCATGTACTCTCTCTGTCTGGCAGTGCAGATAGAGGTGCTGGAGTCGCAGGAGGGGTTGCAGGATGGTTTGCGGAGAAATCTGAGTGCGGAGCGAAGGGATCTGAGTGTGGAGGGATCTGAGTGCAGAGGGATCTGAGTGCGGAGGGATCTGAGTGCGGAGGGATCTGAGTGCGGAGGAATCTGAGTGCAGAGGGATCTGAGTGCGGAGGGATCTGAGTGCGGAGGGATCTGAGTGCGGAGGAATCTGAGTGCAGAGGGATCTGAGTGCGGAGGGATCTGAGTGCGGAGGGATCTGAGTGCGGAGGGATCTGAGTGCCGAGGGATCTGAGTGCGGAAGGATCTGAGTGCGGAGGGATCTGAGTGCGGAGAGATCTGAGTGCGGAAGGATCTGAGTGCGGAGGGATCTGAGTGCGGAGGGATCTGAGTGCGGAGGGATCTGAGTACGGAGGGATCTGAGTGCAGAGGGATCTGAGTGCAGAGGGATCTGAGTGCGGAGGAATCTGAGTGCGGAGGGATCTGAGTGCGGAGGGATCTGAGTGCGGAGGGATCTGAGTGCAGAGGGATCTGAGTGCGGAGGGATCTGAGTGCGGAGGGATCTGAGTGTTGTAAATGTACATTATATACAACATTCATAGGCTAGAATAGGTGTAGTCCCTTATGTTCTTGGGGGGTTGGGTGTACACTCCAACCACACTTTGTGGTTGGTCAAGATTGGATTTGGTCTTGGTCCTTGGTTGGCACTTGCCAACTTTTGGTCCTAACACCAACCAATCACATCCTATCTACATTGTGGGGTTTCCTACTCCACAAGGCACCTCATCCATTGGCCAACTTAGTGGACAATAGGGTTAGCTCCTCCTCCACTCCTCTCTTCCTTGCATGCTTGTACTATAGAGCCTCCTTGGCTCATTACTCTATCATTCTTGAATTCTAACATTGTATTCAGAGCCAAATGGCTCACGCCACCTTCCCTCGATCCTTAGACTGCAATTTACTCTCCGCTCCTTTACCCTAGCGGACTATGGCCTACATCGGTCCACCCACACCTCAGATCTAGCCTTCCGCGGCCTAGATCTCCTCCTCCGCGGCCTCAATCCTCCCTCCTGCGGCCTCTATCCTCCCTCCCGCGGCCTCAATCCTCCCTCCCGCGGCCTCAATTCTCCCTCTCACAGTCTCAAACCGTCCTTACGCGGCCTCAAACCGCTCCCCCGTGGCAGCAACCCTCCCCCCCGTCGCCACGCCTCAACCTGCCCGCCGACGCGACCGACCTGCGCGCCGGCGCGGACGACCAGCGCGGCGACGCGGACGACCTGCGCGGCGACGCGGCCGACCAGCGCGCTGACGCGGACGACCTGCGCGCCGCCGCGGACGACCTGCGCGCAGCCGCGGACGGTCAGCGCGCTGTCGCCAGCGACCTGCACGCCGACGCGGCCGGCCAGCGAGTGACCGCCGACGACCCACGCGCTGACGCGGACGGCCAGCGCGCGACCGCCGACGAGCCGCGCGCTGACGCGGACGGCCAGCGCGCGGCCACGACGAACCGCGCGCCGACGCGGATGGCCAGCGCGCGGCCGCCGACGACCTTGCGCCGACGCGGACGGCTGGCGCGGAGCCGCGGCTGACCTGCGCGCCGTCGCGTTCGGCTGCCCGCGACCTCCACAACCCCGCAACCCTAATCCTCCCTCCTCCCCCTATCCTGCCCCACACCCGCGCCCCTCCCCACACTTCTGCACCAGCCTCTCTTCCCCCCCCCCTACCTCCTCCCCCTACTCCACCCTTAACGGCACCAGCAGCAGCAGCAGCGGCGGCACCAGCAGCGGCACCGGCAGCAGCAGCAGCGGCGGCACCATCACCGGCATCAACGGCGGCAGCAGCAGTGGCAGCAGCAGTGGCTCCAGTGGCGGCTCCAGCAGCAACACCGGCAGCGGCAGCAGTAGCGGCAGCAGCGGCGGCAGCAGCAGCAGCATCGGCGGCGGCAGCAGCAGCAGCATCGGCGGCGGCAGCAGCAGCGGCATCGGCGGCGGCAGCAGCAGCGGCATCGGCGGCGGCAGCAGCAGCAGCGGCACCGGTAGCGGCAGCAGCAGCGGCACCAGCACCGGCAGCAGCGGCATCAGCAGCGGCGCCTTCACGCCTCCGCCGTCATGGCGTCGTCGGACTCATCGGTCGATCTAGCGACCATTGACGCTCTTGAGCTGCTGGGCGACAACTTGGCCGCCAACTGGCACTCCTATGCTCACTCCGTCGAGGTGTTGCTCTCCTCGGTCATCGTCAGCGGATATACCCTTCGCTCCGTCGTGTTCCAGGAGGAGGGTGGACTCCAGCCCATCGCCCCTTCCGCCCCCACTGGACCTGCTCCCGATGAGCCCGGACCCGAGCCCGAGCCTCCTGGTGATCCCCCCTCCTTCGCGCCGGATGTTCACAACCCACAAAGCGTGGAGTCTGCCATTCGTGCCTATCGCACCTCACTCAACGACCACCTTCGCCGCCAACTGCGCTACGACGATGACAAGCGCATCTACGACAGTGCTGCTGCCCGCCACCGTGAATACCAAGCCCAGATCGCCACTTACACTACCCGCCTCACCACCTACACCACTGATATCGCTGCGTGGCGCGTTGCTGATCGTCGAGCCCTCGCTATCCTCCTCGCCACCATCCCCTCCTCCCTCAAACGAGAGCTCTCCCCCACCTCCTCCTCCCACCTGTGGCAACTGCTTGTCGACCTCTTTGACCGACAGGACATCGCAACTCTCTATGCACTCATTAAGGAATTCGGATCCATCACCATGGATTCCACCGCCGGCGCAGCCGCCTTTACTCGCCGCGTCCTTGACCTCGCTCGCCGCCTTGCAGCGCTCGGTATTGTCTACCCTGACACCGTCATCTGCTGCCACCTTCTCGAGGGTCTCACTCCTGCCTTCGATGCCCATAAGCTGGCATACATGCAACTCCTCTCCAAGCATGACACTCCCGCTCAAGTTGCGCAATGGATCATCACCACTGAAGCTGAAATCCTACGCCACTCCTCCTCCACTGCCGCAGCAGCACAGCAGCGCAGCAGCAAAGGCGCGCGTGGAGGGGGGCGTGGAGGTGGGCGTGGTGGTGGTCGAGGCGCCTCTGGCGGTCGTGGTGGTGCGGGTCGTGGTGCAGCAGCGGCCTTCCCACCCTGTCAGTATCTTCCCCTCTATGGCCCCACCCGAGGCCAACGCTGCAACCAGACCACTCATGTGACTGAGACGTGCTTCAAGGCACTCAGTGATGAATGGTTCGCTCGCGGGAACTCTGGCACCCCTCCTCGCTGGTCCGCCCTCAAACCCCACCCCACTCCCCTCGATGTCCGCACCTCTCCCCTTTACGCCCCTTCCTCCTCCTCCCAGGCCCACCAGGCCTTTGCTCTCCCCTCTCACCAGCAGCAGCAGCAGCAGCAGCAGCAGCAGCAGCAGCAGCAGCACCAGAGTGTCCAGCAGCAGGGGCCGCAGCAGTACGGGCAGCAGCTTCATCAGCTCCAGCAGCAGCTTCAGCAGCTCCAGCAGCAGCTTAACCTCCAGCCCCAGCTTCCTCTCCTCCCTCCTCCTCCTGTCCCCCAGCAGCAGTCGTTTCCCGGCTGGACCGCCGGGAATGCGGCCTCCGCGGCCCACCTCTCCGGTCCATCCCCTGCACCGTCTACAGGTGGCAGTGTGACCCCCTTTCCCTACTCTGGCTTTGTTGGTCTGCTTAGTCAGCCTCCTTCTGCCGCATCCCCTATGTATGCCCCTGCTATTAATGAAACTTCAATTCAGTACTCCGCCTCACCCTCCTCCACCCTTGAGTTCCTCTTGGACAGTGGAGCCACTGACAATGTCTTTCGCGATGCCGGCAAACTCCATCCTCTCCCCACTCCCACGTCCCTCCTCGACGCTGATAGCAGCTTTTCCATCCCCTGTCACAACACGTCCACCCTTCCCTGTCCTCTCTTTCCCTCAGGTACTGTCACAGGTCTTCACATTCCCTCCCTTCGCACCAACCTCCTCTCCCAAAGGTCCCTCCAACAATCCATGATCACAACTGTCGCCCCAGGTGGTGCTAACCATTGTGACCTTTACCAAACCTCCACAGGTCGCTTCCTCTCCCGCATTCCCTACTGTCCCCGCTCCCGTCTGTACACCCTTCGGGTTCCTCGCCCCCTCACCTTCCAAGTTGCCTCCCCCCCCCCTCCTCCCCCCCCCCTCCTCCCCTCCCTCCCACTAACCCACCCGTCCCCCCCCGCCCCCCTGACTCTGACTGCTCATGTCGCTCCCTCTCCCACCCTGCCATCCTCCTCCATGACAGGCTAGGTCACCCCAACTTCGCCACTCTGCGCTCCTCTGTATCTTCCGGTCTCCTCCACGGTCTCCCCTCCTCCCTCCCTCCCCTCCCAAAGTCCCCTGCCCCCCCTTGCGTCGTCTGTGTTCAGAGCAAGCTCAAGCAGCAGCCGCACCGGAGCTCCCCCTCCGCTGCTGCCCAGCCACTTGATCTTGTTCACATGGACCTCTGGGGCCCTAACCCCTCCCCCACTCGCCAAGGCCATCGCTACCTTCTCGTGCTCGTCGATGATCACAGTCGGTACTCGTCCGTCTCTCTCCTTCGGACAAAGGCGGACGCCCCGACTGCGATCATTGCCTGGCTCGAACAGGCAAACACCCACTTTGGGCGCCCTGTTCGCCGCCTCCACTCTGATGGTGGTGGTGAGTTCCTTAATAACCAAATCTCCTCCTATTGCCAGTCCCGCGGCATTCTTCAGACTTACACCCTCCCTCACTCCCCACAGCAGAACGGTGTCGCTGAGAGCCGTGTTCGGGAGATCACCAAAACGGCTCGGTGTCTTCTTGTCCACGCCTCATGCCCCCCTTCTCTGTGGGGCTACGCCCTCCTTCATGCCGCCCTCCTTACTAACCTTTACCCTCACCCCCTCCTCCAATCCACCACCCCCACTGAGCTATGGACAAAGGACAAACCCGATGTCTCCCCTCTTCGAGTCTGGGGCTCAAAGGCATATATCCTCATTCACCTGTCTGACCGATCCCGTTCCCTGGGAAAGCTTGCCCCTCGTACCCTTCCTTGCATCTTCCTTGGTCATAACCCCTCTTCCCCCGACTATCTTTTTCTGCACCCCCCTTCCGGTCGATTCATTCGCAGCAGAGATGTCGTCTTTGACGAATCCACCCCGTACTATTCCTCTCCTCCGTCCACTGACCCACTCCCACCTCTGACTCGTCCCCTTGTCTGGTCTGACACCACCCCTCCCCCTCTCCTCCCTCCTCCCCCCATCCTCCCACCCCCTCCCCCTCCGCCCTCCTAGTCCCACCATCACAAAAAACCTTGGTTTTTGAAGGGGGTTCGAAGGGGGGTACAGTTCAGGTGTTTTGATTGGCGAAGTTCCAAAGCCAAATCGCGACCAATCACGGAATGAAATCGGACCGCGTTTGTTTGTCGAAGTCTAGATCGAATTCGCGACTCCGGTACATTGCCGTTTATTTGAAGCGTGCCAAATTTGTTGTGATTTTGTAATTGGTTTTTTAAGCTTTGACTTCCCTAAAATGTGTCTGCTTGAAAATATGCTGGCCATTTTATTACAAGATAAATGCATCACATTTGATACTTATTAAGGAGATAGGTACTGTCCAGGTGGAATGCCTTCACCACATGGACGTGGCAGAGCAGCGCTTCAATCGGAATCACGGAGTACGCGTACATTCCTGTCGTCCACTTGAGGCGAAGGCATCCTGTTGCTGTATCCTCTCCGCTTGCATTCCAATATCTAACGTAAGCCAGCTCCTCCCTCTCTCCACGTATTTTTGTATGGAACAACTGAAGCAACCTTGCATACCACTCCTCTCTCCGACCATACCTTACACCCTCCACTGCAACATCCGAGTACCATGGCCTCTCAAAATAGTCAGGGGTCGCTCGAACGAAGTGAGAAACTCTTGAGAAGCTGGCGTCGTCTGCTGCAGGGATTGCCAGCGATGCATGGGCCTGCATAACAGTTGATGTTAGTCATGTATGATACGAGCCAGCCAAATGATGGTTGATTGCATAAACTTGCAACTACTTACTCGAATCTTGGTGACGCATCCTGCATAACGCATAAGCGCATCCTTGAGGGCAGCTTGGGCACGAGGGTGTTGCTTGGCCCACTTCCTTGCAAACCAGTTGGTGGAGGTGGGTTCTTGTGGTAACTCCACAGGGAGGAAGTATGACTCCTTAATGAGCGTCCGTGTGTCGGTCTCAATCGCCTGCCAACATATGCTATTGATATTATTACATTCTGCATTCATATCCATGCAATTCAAGCACTAAACAGATTTACCTGCCGCATGGCGGTGTCCCGGCCAGCAGGATCATCCACTGGCACCACATCCGGAATGCGCCTAGCATGGAACTTCATGATCTGCCCATCTACATTGCGCTTGTTGGACCGACGGTAGATCCTCTTTACCAACGGTCCGTGCAAGTGCTCGAACATGTTGGTGCTGAATTCAGTCACCTGACCCGCGCGACGTATGGAGTCAACGTAGTGCGACATGAGATGTGTTTTCACAAGGCACCAAGAGGATGGCTGCTTTGGAAACGCAGCCTGCAACTGCTCAACGAGCCTGATGGG